GCATTTATTTCATATAATATTCACGTCTAGTTTGATTGTCATCATACACATTATTTTTATCGAGAAATTCAATAAAAATCCTATCCTATCTGTAATATATTTTTTCTTATGAGTAACCATTTACAACCCAACCCTCCCCACATCACATCCAACTCTCCCACCCACCCCTTGTTGATTGGTAAATTGTCTGTAGTATTTGCGATTCACCATGGAACTTTCACTGGCAGTGCATGGCTGGAGGGCGTTGAGGCATGGCAATTCAAATTCAGGGTACTAACACACAGTCTGCTAATGTTTGAAAATCTTTACATAAATATAGCAAGTCTGTTTATTATAAATAATTAACTAAAGGTAGTTTATCTACCATTGCTTTTTAAAGAAATCTTGAAACACAGGTGCAAGTAACCACTATAAATTAGTCATACAATCAGTACTATGATAGTCACAGTTGTAAATTAAATTAATACTTGTTTCAAAATTCGGATTAAATATATATTTTTATTATTGAGTATTTATACTTTTTTCAAAGTTTATACTCTATTTGAAGCACAAGATCTGTAATAGAAGTAGACATAAACTCATTTTATGAACTTATACTGAATTATTAAAATTTATCTTAAGATTAGTTTAACCATTAGCACACCTCTGACATTTATATAAGCGTATTATGTACTACTAACAGAGCAACAGTCTGCCTTCTAAACAATTTTGATATGTCACTGACGCAAGAAGATTTCAAATGACGTAACTAGAAATAGTGATTTTTGAAAGCAGAAAATGTTGGCTGGCTACATTGGTGATTGGCTGGCTACATTGGTGATTGGCTGGCTACATTGGTGATTGGCTGGCTACATTGGTGATTGGCTGGCTACATTGGTGATTGGCTGGCTACATTGGTGATTGGCTGGCTACATTGGTGATTGGCTGGCTACATTGGTGATTGGCTGGCTACATTGGCGATTGGCTGGCTACATTGGTGATTGGCTGGCTACATTGGTGATTGGATGGCTGCATTGGTGATTGGATGGCTACATGTACATGCACATTTACTTTGGTGATTGGCTGGCTGCATTGGTGATTGGCTGGCTACATTGGTGATTGGCTGGCTACATTGGTGATTGGCTGGCTACATTGGTGATTGGCTGGCTACATTGGTGATTGGCTGGCTACATTGGTGATTGGCTGGCTACATTGGTGATTAGCTGGCTACATTGGTGATTGGATGGCTGCATTGGTGATTGGATGGCTACATGTACATGCACATTTACTTTGGTGATTGGCTGGCTGCATTGGTGATTGGCTGGCTACATTGGTGATTGGCTGGCTACATTGGTGATTGGCTGGCTACATTGGTGATTGGCTGGCTACATTGGTGATTGGCTGGCTACATTGGTGATTAGCTGGCTACATGTACGTTGGTGATTGGCTGGCTACATTGGTGATTAGCTGGCTACATTGGTGATTAGCTGGCTACATGTACATGTACGTTGGTGATTGGCTGGCTACATTGGTGATTGGCTGGCTACATGTACATGTACGTTGGTGATTGGCTGGCTACATTGGTGATTGGCTGGCTACATGTACATTTACTTTGGTGATTGGCTGGCTGCATGTACATTTACAAAATCAGAATGATGGTGACTCAGAATCACTGGTAGCATTGTGGTAGTTGTACCAACCCAGTCACTCATTAGTAAATTCAAATTCTACCTGTGGCTGCACACCTTCTAGGGGGTT